TTCGCTTTGTAGAGTTTCTCATCACAATACGCATGTTGGTGTACTTTCCACGGTTCTTCGTTCTCATCGATGCTATTGAGTGTTACTCCGGAAGCAGCTTCCATTGAGTCTTCCTTGCTTGGCTGACTGATTTTTTTGTTGCGTGGATTGTCAGGTATCCAAGAATCAGAATCGGAATTGGAGTCCATAGACATTTTACGTGTGTGACCACGTGGCGCCGGCAATATGGCTTCAGCGGATAAACGTCGTTGACTCGGCGGAGTTATCTCTAGGAAGTTAGATATAATTTCATTATTTGGTATCCATTCAGCGCGACCGCTGCCAGGACTTGGTGAACGACTTCGCCTTGGGGGCTTAACTTTCGGTGCATCGTCGTGTATTTCCTCTATTACAGGTGTGGAAGGTTTTGATGGTGCGGGACGTGTCACTGCTATTATAAGTGTCGATTCAAATTGATCAGAATTATCTTGATGTATGAGTACGCGTGGAAACGCGACATCGGTTTCGGAGTCTAATGAATCGTTGAGTAAATTTTTAGTAGTCCAAAGAGTACGTGTATGCTGCATATCTTCATTGTCGTATTCGTAGTCACTTTGTGTGAGCTTATCGTTTTTAACACGCTCTTCTCCAGCTGTTTGCTGTTGCTCGTCTTCGGAATCACTTGGCGTATCACGGGCTGCAGCACGTCTGGCAGAAGTATGTGGTCGTACATAGACGGTACGCTCGTCATCTGATTCTTCTTCAGCTTCCACTTCGTCGTGTTTGCTAGCCTCTTTCTTGGTTGCACTACATTCTTTCTCAAGATTCTCCTGCGACTTGTTAAAGAACTTAATCTGTTGCATCTTCTCATTCATCTTTTTAAGAGTACGTTGACGTGCCTGTTCAAAACGCTTTTCAAAGTTGACCGTCTTACGTGCATTAGCATCTTTTGTCGTGCCTGTGGGCGTATTGTGTGCCTCATCCTCTTCAGTGCCATCGAGATCATCTGTAGAATTTGCACGTTTCTGTTGGCGTATATTACGAAGCTTTTTCATTAGAGTGTCCGTGCGTTTCTCCCCTTTCTCAGCATTACGCTCCGGGGATGTTTCATCACCAGTTTGCGCCTCACTTTCAGTTGGTCTGCGCTTAAAGCTCTTCTTCCAATCTTGCAATTTATTGGTTATGACAGTGCGTATGGGTGAACGCTGTTCTTCACTTTTCTGGGGTGTCGCCTCATCCAGATTTTCTGTGGACGCTTCATGTGAAGCGAATCTGCGTAAACGAGCTGCCAATTTTTCAGTGCGACTGATTCGTTTTGCCTCTTTCTTAGGCGTGCCATCGCCATCCGTGTCTTCTGCCGTATTTGCGTTCGGTTCGCTTTTAGGTTCGGATTCTTGCGCACGCCTTATCGATTTCGAAAAACGTTTGATATTCTGTTTTAAGACACTAAGCGGATTATTCTCATTCACTGTTGCGGCTGGCGCTTCCTGCTTCTCCTCGGACTGTTGTGGTGATAACGGTGCACGTCGTCGTTTTCGCTCACCTAATTTCTCTGGAGTTTCCTCGCTGCTTTGCCTCATATTGCGTAATTTCGAGAGCGTCTTTCTATTCATGGCTTGATTGGACATGCTTTCTGGTGAACTTTGTATAATCTTTGATTTCTGCTGAGCAGCTCGTGGTGCAGGTACTTCTTCGTCCTCATCCAACTCGTTATTACTCTCATCAGTTATATACTGCTCCAGCGGTGGATTACGCACCCTAGCGAAACGTGTCGAAGCAATGCCTGGTTTGCGTGGTGGTGGCGTAGTCTCCATGCCACTCTCATCTTCGCTTTGTTCATGCATGTTTTTGGCACGGCTATTGTTCACCTGCGTATGCGACTCTTCAGAGCTTATGCTACGTTTGCTATTATCTGTGTCCTGTCGCGAAAGCTTGAAGTTGAAACGATAATTATCGGCAATCTTACGATCATGCCGTTCTTGTTCGGCATGCTCACGCTCACGTTCCTCATTGTAACGCTCCACATATTGATCCACCAGTATGATGTCCTTACGCACCACTGTCTTCTTCGCAAAGATGTGACTCAGTCGAAATTCGCTGATGTCCTTATAACCTTTCTGCAGCTTTTCCGTCAGCGACAACTTGGCAACAGTCGGTTCAACACGCTCACTCTCACCGTCTATTGGACTTATGGGACGCGATAAACGGTCTGGTGCTTGAAATTGCCTTGGTGACGGGTAGTCATCGTCCACGCTACAGGCACTGCGGTAAGTGCCACGTTGCGAGTCGCCACGCTGCTGCTGTTGCTGCTGCTGATGCATCAGCGATGAAACGGTCGATATGTGACACGGTGAGTGATTTATAAAATCAGCAGGTGGTATGGGCGGCTGAGTCGACAGCTGTCGAATGGACTGTTGACGTTCTTGCTCCTTCGTCGAACCTTTGTTGCGACTGAGATCCTCACGCGAGCGTCCAAATATGCGACGTGAGCGCAATTTCGGTAATGACTTTGGCAATTTAATTTGTGGCATTGCTGGCATTGCAGGCAAAGAGGGAATTCGTGCTGAAACACAATGTGAAAGAGAATTGATGTGTGGCTAAATAAATTAATTGACGGATTTGTGATTAAGTGGCAGTGGTTGGGGCTTGGGCGTTCGGGCTGAATGGGCGTACGTGTTGGAGGAATCGCAACAAATGGCTGACGTGTGCGAAAAAATTGCATTGAAATATCGATTTTCACTGGTTGGCATTGAATGCTAAGCTCGACCCACAAGCGCGCTGAGAAATGTAGCCCAGAATGCATGCAACACGCCACGTTTCACAACTAATTCACATCTATACATACCTCGTAGGCTGCTAACGTCGATGTTCTGGCACAAATTCTTAAAATCCATGTTGGCAATTTGAACTGTAGTTGATAGACAGGTAATTTAATATTTTTATACAACAACACGAAATGGTTTACTCCACACTTACTCTAGCGTGCCACGCTCTTTATATTAGACCCTTGTTACTGCCTTGTTCTACACATAAACACAATTGAATACAGACTGTCTAACTTGAAATCACTAGCGACAGCAAATAATTTCCACTGAATTTAGTTTTGCTCCACAAATTATTAAAAAGTGATTTTCATAATTTTGTTTTTTGTCATACTTTAAATTTTTCCATCTCAAAGTTAATCTAATTGATGTGCCCAGAATAAATAGTAGGTCTTTGCTGCCGTTCTGATTCGTTTCTGTGCGTGTTTCGGCACATTGTTTGACCGAGGTTTCACAGCGAAGCTTTCAAAGCGCATGCTTGCGAAACCCTTTACTTTCAGCACTCAGTTTTGTCTAACCTTTTTGCTCCTAATTTTATTTCTTAACTGCTAATTGAATTAACATGTAAAATTTTCTCACATTCTGCACTGGAACTCTTTATTTAGATATACCGATTTGCATTCTTCTTTTCGTTTTGCTTGTCATTTTCGCTTTCGTTTTCTTTTTTAGTTGACTTTGTTGTCTATTAATAGGCGCTTTTGTTCCAATGCATTTCTTTCGTTGGCTAGATTCGCTCTCCTTTTGCACTTCCATCGCTATTCTATACCTCGTTTTATTTGTAAACAGCTACTCGAAAGCTTTTCTTGCATAATTCCATAACTACTTACCCACTTAGCTATTTTGCTTTCGCAGTAATTGCATGGAGGCTTGTCTTTTGTGGTAGGTGAATTCAGTAAAGTCTTTATTACACTGTAGGGCAATTGGTACTGAGTATAGGCATATACTCGTAGGTTTTGAAAATGGTAATCGACAAAGTAAGTTCAAACATCTTTATTTTATTTATGTAACATTTACTTTTATTATAAGAATGCTGTGTTGTCCTGTATCCAAAGTTAGTTCTGGGTTTTCAGCATAAATAAAATGATCTACTAGAAATCTTGATGATCTTACTTTGGGTCGATCAAAAGTTAATTAAAGTTCCATTTGGTGTATCCCAAACTAAGATAATTGTGACAACACGAGTGTTCGTTGCATTAGCTGCTTTAATATAAAAACTCCACTTGAGTTTATCTTCGGAAACGAGGCATTAAGCTGGTACTATGTAGACTCTAGCTGATTTCTTCGAATAAAAATGGTTCAGAGCACCGATTTTGTTAGGTTTGCCTTTTTAAATAAGATATTAATTTACTTCTACCAGGATTAGTACTGATTTGTTATTCAAAGCCAGTTTTACATATTGTAAATCACAGCGATTGTTTCAAGTAAGATTGTTCTGATAGATAATCTCCAGGTAGTTTCGCAAAAGTTCATAAATGTTCATTAGAGCAGTCATAGTCAATGTTTTGACGAGGAGAGTAAAGGGTTTTCCTTTCTCTTATTAGTTTATAGAATACAAAAACAATAATATAAGAAATGTGTCGTCGTAGGGTTGTTGGAATCATCTAACAAATTTTGAAAATTGCTTTTATCGATCCTCGCACCATCTTTTTGTGTTTCCCTACTACTTTCCTTCTATAGCATGATTTATATATTTGTCTTTACTTATAAAGACCTTTAAATTGAATTTCTGATAGTTGTTGGCTCGTTGAAAACTGATTTTGAGAAAGTGTCGATGATTTGGTTCTCTTGTTGTATCAAAAATCTTCTCTTACCAGGGCAACGTTAAGGGGAAAAAGACGATTTTTGGGAATTGGGGAAAATTTTATTGTATCAACTGTTTTAAAATTTTAGTGATATATTTACAGGACATTACAGTATCAACAGTTCAGATTATCCGAATAATTAATTTGCTATCTTGACGAATTCAGATAATTTGCTTGAATATGATCACCATTATCATATAATATATAGTCCCCAATTTCTCTCTTTTATGAGAACATTAATTTCGAAATTACATAAAAGCATAAACGCTCAGAACGTAATTCATTCAAATGCCACTATAATTCCAAAGATATTTTTAATCAAGCTTATGAGGAAATGCCATCATAACTTACAAACTCAATTCTAATAAAATGTTTTTCTTTTCTCTTCTCATTCCAGCTCGCGTGCAAAGCTTGCGACTTACATACTTATATTACCGACTGTTACCGACCGCTTTAGTGTTCTAGTGTTTTGTGCTTAAGTGAATTACATCTACACCCGTCATTTATATAATATATATATTTTTGTTTTTTGGTTTTCAATTTCAATTTAGGTTTAATTTACAAATATATTAAAATTGCATAAGTGTACAGTTATTCCCAAGGACACTCATTTAGTTCGTACATGGAGCACTTAGACGGATTGAATTAGATTCATATAACACATACTTTTGTGCAACGTACATATAGCAACATATACACACAAATGTCTGTGCTCCTCACGTAACTACATATTTGCATAGACTGAACATTCCAAACACTGTTCTCTTCCCCCCGAAGGCGAGCGAATAAATAATAACCACAACTACAAACAAGGAACATCAACGGCATCCTGCTCGAATTGCGTGCGGGACCAACATCTATAGGCACATACCTAACCTACACATCAGACACATCCAGGATGGGGCGGCTAACACAAATGCTGGCCGTCCTGCTGCTGGTAGCTGTTTTAGGCTCCACAAATGCAGAGAGTAAAAGTAAGTAAATATTACAGTAATTGTAAGGTTGTAAAATTATGCTTATATATACAGTAAGGCCTTGATATCTACGACTATTAATTGCGAATTAGCATATTGACTGAATATTTAAACAATTTATTGAAAAAAGTATTATTACATATAAGTATGTAGTCTGAAAGTAACTAAATTAATTTAAAAAAATTCCGAATCTAAGATTTTATTAGCGAAGTATCAAGGTATCACAGACCAAGATAACTTCTTGCAAATGATTAACATTTTCATCCCTATTTGGGGGAGGGTATAATAGTTCCAGTGGCTCGTCGATTTCGTTTCGGTAATTTTTATGTCTAATGTGCACCACGCTCTGGAAGGCCAATTGTTGAAAACATCGGCAAAGTAATGAAAAGTCCGTCTGTCATATAAGCACTGTTACGATTGTCAACCATTTAAATAAGGGTGGATAAAGAAGCTCGATGTGTAATCATACGAGTTAAAGCACAGAAACCTCATGGACCGAAAATTGGTAGAAGTGGTTTTTTGACGAGATCTACCTATTAAATGGCGAGATCATCAAATCTACTATAATGTAAGTCGTTCAAAATAATAGGATGAGGTTTGCTTTTGTGAAAATTTCATATTTGTTGATAAAGTAGAAAAATGCATATTTTGTGTGAAAAATAGTAGGTTTATCAGTAATAAATTCGCTAATAAAACCACTTGCGTTCGTACTTTCTGCTATCTCATTAGCCTCACACTTTTTCTATTATAGTTTTACAATGTTTTCAACCCATCTGCACAATACATAAATTTCTATACAATTGTCGAATATTTCTTTAGTTTTTAATGCACAATATTTCATTTCAATGCATCTCTTCTTTCTAACCTCCTAATATTTCATTTTATTTTGTATTAAATACTTATTTTTTGTTTGACTTCTACTTTCTTTTTTTTCTATCAGTGAAAGTTAGTCATAATTCAAAACAACTTTTCTCACCTACCGCTGCATGTGTTGTAAAAAATTCAAAATGTTTAACAAATGTTATTTATTACCCACATTATTCGGTGTGCCTTCACTTCAACTCAAATGCTTTACAAGCAACTCTGTTCACGGCTTCGAACGTTTGATCGTCGTGTAAACCACATTCATATTCATTGCATTCAATCATTAAAGCTTTGACGGGAACCTCATTTTACATATCGCCCATCACCCATTTGTTTGGCGCAGCATCACTAGTCTCACTTCATTTCGGCTGAGCTCTTCGCAATTGGGCTGCTATCAGTCTACAGACCGTACGTCAAAAGCAAACATGCAGCAGACCGCCTATTTTATGCTTCATTCAATCCGCTGGTATTATATATAGTACATATATATTTATAGTTACTTAGCTATGCTTCACCCCCCGAGAAGACAAACAATTGTCCACGATTTTCTTGGAATATGTGGCGTGAAGGTATTTCGATAGACTTGTGCTTAACATTCATACGAGCTTACACATATGTACATACCCACATACGATGTGAGTGTCTGCCGTCATTTCTCCACTTCAAGACCACTCATCTTTCTTTGCCTCTTTAGTCAATTCGCCTATGCAAAGTGTGTGTTAAATTAATCTATTGTACTTCAAACGGTGTTCCACACATATTAAATGCTATTGTTTTTGTTGTTGTTGTCGGTTTTCAATGTTATTTTGAATTGGATCGTGTACTAGACACATGCATTTGTTTACAAACCTCCTCAGCTATCTTCGCTCTATGTTTGGCATGACAATCGGTCGATTACTTATTTACAACAAAAATGATGATTGCAATTTACTAAAAGATGTAAAGGTACCTATATTTCCATATTGGAATACAATTAATAATTATAGAGAAATTTCTGGCTTGTTGAGTTTAGATTCGGCTAGGGATGGTTGCTTGGCAAGGCCATCAAAAACTGATTCCTTGTGATCTGAGTATAAATAATAGTAGGAGAAATAATAATAATTAATTAAAGATGAAACATACATACAGTTACTGACAATAAAATAGAATCAAATAAATTATTTGTCCGATAAATATCGGATACGTTTTGCCTGTAATCGATTCATAGAATATTTATCTTTTAAAACACCATGGTAGCTCTGTTACATTTTACTGCTATCTTTGTGCTCAAATTAAAGAAAAAAATGTATGTATTGTCGTGACAAAAATAGAATCAAGGAATAAAAATAGCAAATGATATCTCTAAATATCGTTATTTAGTAAAACATTATATTGTACGTATAAAATCTTTAGGATATTTGTTAAAACTGGATATTTATTATTATTTGTAGAAGCAATGAGCCGAGGAAAGCACTGCACACCGGCAGAGCTTAAGCTAATAAAAAATTTGCAAAATAACTGTTATGACCGAAAGGAAATTTAAAAAATAAAAAGTTCTTAAGAATTTGTGTTTACGGCTTTGAAACTTCCAAAATAAATGCGAATTGAGGAGACGGTCACGAAAAACGATGTCTTAGGATGACAATTACATAGATATTTTATCAAAACGCGATCCTTTCAAGTGCTTTGTAACTATCCAAAGAGAATTGGGAGTATAAATTTCTTCGAAAACGATTGCGCGCCGCCTTTTAGAAAATAATATCTTCGGAAGGTTGTTCCGGAAAGTCCAAACGTTGACAAAAAAACAGCGGAACAAACGATTCCTGTTTTGGATTTGGGAAATTATGGACCATTTTCACTTTTTTTAGATTTTAGAAGATGTTTTGTTTCCTTATGCTGAATGGAACATGCCTGTAGTTTGGCAGTTCCAGCATGATAATGACCCGAAGCATAACTCGGGTGTGGTCAAGACTTGGCTATAGGATCAAGGAATCGATGTTAGGACTTGGCCGGCGCAATCTCCGGATTTAAATCCTATAGAAAACCTGTGAAAATCTTTTTCCTAGATTGGTACAACCTTTTTTGTGTTTGTGCGAAGTTTGATCCCCAGTTGTCAATTATTGTGTGTTTCGGCCATTTTTACCATGGTAAAAAATTGAATAACGAGTTTGTTTGAAAATTTGTAACTCCAACGGAATCGTTGCAAATGTTGCAGAATTGTTTGGGGAGTTATAACCACAACCGAAAAGTTATGGAAACAGTGCTTGAACATTGTCGTGTTGATATCAGAGAGCATCGTCGTGTTAATAGCAGAAAATCTCAACATCTCTTATGGATTGACTAACCATTTTGGTTAGGGTTTTGGTTATGGAGCGTGTCAATGCTAGACTGGTACCAAAAGACCTCGAATGCGCCGTCACATTCTAGCATGATCGTCATGCCTTTTTGGCAGTCATCGCTCAGCCACCCTATTCGCCAGATTTAGTTCTCCATGACTTTTTTCTGTTTTCGAATTAGATTAAATCCGCTTCGTGGAATGCGCCATGAGTCCATTGACCCAGTATATAAAAATCGCCAAACAAAGATTTGACGTCGTAAACAAATAGCTTTCAAACACACACTAATTGACCTATGGAGATCAAATTTCACACAAACATCAAACAAGATTGTACCAATCCACCCAGAAGCGTTACTATAAACATTTTGTAAGCCCTCAGTCAAAAAAACCTTTATATATCTGCTTTAGAAACATGGCAATTGTGTGCTGCCGATACCGACACGTTCGTGAAATGCACACACATAAATACTTAAGCAATCTCAACACGTCAAACTCCCATTTTTCACTTCAAAGTATTGAACTCTGCCACCTGATTCTGTTAGTTGGCCTACTTTCCTTAAGTAATTGTATGGACATGCAGTTCAAATTCATTTAATACCACACTTTTTCATGCCAAAGTTTTAAAATAGATGTTTACGTTCGCGAGCATTACGTCGGCATGAATGTGAACAATGGCCGCATTTCCAACTGAGGGTCTGTCTGTCTATCTGTTTCTCTGTCTGCGCTGTACGTTCTGAATGTTCAAGTTCTATTTCGAATACACAGAGTGTGCATTGTATATATGTATATCAGGTGAATTAGCGCATTCACGCCTTCATGAAAAAAGGCTGATCAAAATGTAAACATGCGCCGGTATTTTTAGACACCTGTTGTGCGTGAGTCGTGAAGGGAAGTCATGTATGTTTGGTCTGTAGGGAAAACCGTTCTTCAAGAGACTTGAAATTTTTGTATATTGTTGCCTTATTTTTATTTTATTTATCTGAATCCCCACTCAGTATTAATTCGTTGCGAGAAATTCTATTGAATTTAAATTTACCGTGGGTTCAAATTCATTTATTGTTTCATAAATTTAACAATTTTAGGACCTATTCAAGTCGCTAAATAAATGGTGGATGACGTGATCATATTTCCAAAATTTGGTCATGGCTAATTCGTTTTTTTTTTATAGAATTTAAACCCTCACACAATGAGTTCTGTACTATACTATGTGAAGAAGTCTAAAGCAAATGTACTGGCTTCTATAGGGTGATCCATTTCGAAGTTTACTACTTTTTTAAAGAATTGAACCAAATGTCGCCGAGATCCCGAGCTTCAATTTCAGGCATCACATAGTCGGTTATCATGGCGTGATAACGGTCGCCATTGACGGTTACGTTCTCATCGGCATCATTTTTGAAAAAATATGAAATTATCCCGTAAACCGTATTTAATAAAACAGGTTCCTACAGGGTATCATATAGTATTGTATATACACGTACTTTCTATTTCGAAATTCTTTATTTCTTTTTTATAAGTATTGTACATCTATTTTTTGTTGCCTACCTTATTCGTTTCTATGCGGTGGCATCGTTGTCATCGTGTCGCCTGTTTTCGTTTTTTTATTCCGAACGCATAAAGTGCATTCATGCATTTTCGCTATAAATTTAGTAATGGCTCATTCATGATTTAAGTTCGCTGACTAATATGTTTATTTAGACTTTTATATTTAGTGCCACTCTTTCACATTCACTCCTCGGTGTTGCTGAAAATATTGCTGGGGTTAAAGGTGTGGGATTTTTAATCGCTTTTTGTTTTTATAAATTATGACTCCATAATTTTTATAGCTTCTGCTGAAAATTTCTTGCATATTTTTCAATTTTCTAATTGGTTTATAAATTTAGAAGTTCACAAGAACTGCTCATGGAATTTATGCTCATAAAGTTTTTTTTTTTAATAGACTGGTAAATTTGGGTTTTATATTAAAGAAATTTTCATTAATGTAATATTTAAGGGACACACTTAATGTGACATAAAAAAAAAATTGATTTTTTCATATTTCGGCAGGTTAAACAGGTTAAAAGTTTCGATATCTCAAACAGTTTTTCGGTTACAGGCTTTGTACCATAAAAAAAAAGTTTCAATGGAATCATTAAAAATGTTGCAGAAATATTTTGTCTACTCTTCACGAACACAATTGAAAAAGTTATGGAAACATTGCTTAAAAATCGTCGTGTTGGATCTGTTATGGATCGACTCAGCCATTTTCGTTAATGTTTTGGGTATAAAGCCAATACCGAAACGAAATCATCGCCACCGTATTCGCCAGATTTGTCTTTTTTCTGTTTTCGAAACTGAAAAATCCGATTCGGGGAAGTGTTCATGAGTTCAATGGACCCAATTTATAAAAATCGCCAAAAAAAAAAAACTGTAGTCCTCGTAAACTTCTAAATTGCAGCTGCTTTATTAATATTATTATTTTAAACTTTACATTTTTTGTATTTTATAAGTCAGATACTGGCATTTTTCTATAATTACTATAAAAATTATAATGTTTTCCTTTTCCAGTAAATTCACCGCCTCGTATTATAAAACAACCCCCGACAGATGAACTGCTTTTCAAAGTCGCAGTACAAAATAAGGAAAGTGATAAACCATTCATCATCGAGTGTGAAGCTGAAGGAAAACCAGACCCAAGGTAAGCAACAGTCAAATGAATTTTATAAATTTCATATAATTTGCTTACAAAGGACACCCACAGAGTTGATTGATCCACATTATGTATAAAGTGACCCACAATGCAGTCGCTAGTTTAGTGTGTAGCTCACCACTTGTGGTGAGTTGTTGAAAAGGGGTGGTGTGAGTTGGTATTCCAGCGCCAGCAATTGGCGAATTAAATTGCAATTAGCGCAGTAGGAATTTACGCGCTCGCATTTTTTGTAAAAATAATCAAACGAAAGAAGCGATGCGCGACATTTGAAAAAAAATATTCGTTTAAATAAATTTTTTTATTTCTTTCATTAAATTAAAAGGATCTCGCAGAATAAAGCTTTTGAATTTTTTTTATATACTTTTTTTTATTATATAAATTTTTTTCTTTATTTTTTGCTATCAATTAACTTTATTTTTACTCAAGCGCGCCAATTGTTATTGTTAAAGCAATATTGTTGTTTTTGCTTCATTTTGTTTATGAACACTCTGCCCGCCACAGAATGCGTGTTGAAGTAAAAATAATAAAAATAAATAAATGATTTAGTAACAATAGCATAGCGTAGTAGATTCTCTTAGCTCTTCTAGCGACGCGATTTATTTTTAGTTGCACTGTTGGCGGAACACAATTTAGTGACGGTTGTGGAAAATGTGCCTAAAGAATTTAAATATATGTATATAGCAAAGTATTAAAAATTGTTTTTGGTTCTTTTTTGTGATTTTTTTATTTTAAATTTTATTAACTTTCGACACATGTTGTTTTAAATTTTGGCGAGGGGTCCAAGAAGTTAAATTACTATTGAAATTTCTTAGAGTAAAAAATAGAAAGATTTGGAAGCGATATACTTATAGATGTATGTGTTTGCTTGTAATTGGTTTTATTAAAAAAATATGGTTTTTAAAAATAAAGAGTTGAATAAGTTAAATAGTAAATATTTCTGTTTCCTTTTAATTTTTTTTTTAAATATAAAATTAAATAAATTTAAAAATAAAAACTATACGAATTTAAACAATATATATATTTTACCAAAAGTTGGCGCAAATGAAACATTTTGTTTAAATTCGGAACTATTTTTAATAATTTTTTAATAAAAAATGTACATTAGGCTCTTCAGTTATAAATTTAAAAATTTCGGAGTAGACCGTGTAAAAGTTTATATTATAAGTTAGTTTAAAAAAACGTACCTTTTGTTAAAAAAAAAATCGAAAAAATTCATCTTATATCTCATCGGAAAGAAAAAAATAGGCCGGCTAGTTTTTATAATGAAATAATTTTCTTCGTATACGCATATGTTTAAATGTAATTTTTTGGAACAATAAAATTTTGAAAATTCATAATACCAAAATTTTTCATATTGAATCGATATAAACAAGTACGTATCCAATATTTTACTTCCAAGAACAACACTCAAAAAATGTTTTGTACGAAAACATTTTTTGAACCCATATGTATATGTATGTAAGTAAATTATCAGCACGACGAGCTGAGTCGATTTGGCCATTTTCGTCTGAATGTCTGAAGTTTTTGAGATATTGATCTGAAAATTTGCATACATTCCTTTCTCTTCAAAAAGCTGCTCATTTGTCAGAATCGCCGATATCGGACCACTATATGATGTACATAACTACCATACAAATTGACCGCTAAAAATCAAGTATTCTATTCTTTTTATTTGATGAGGTCGGTGCAGTCGAAGTTAACCTTTTTTTTTTGTTTTAATTAAAAAGTGAATATATTGTAGTACAAATATATACAAATTATTCATCAATGACTGTGCCTAAGCATTATTTCTTTATTAATATACCATGACTTTTCCGAATAATATATTCCACACCTTCTACATAAATACATAAGTGTATAAATATATCATTGCATATGTATAAAAATTAAAACATTTTTTGTTGAAAATACGCATAATTTGTTGTAAATATTTTCATGGCAATCAAAATGAGGTCATCTCGCTGACTACAGTTTTGATTTACTATTCGAATTTATTTATGTGTGCTGTTTATTTTTGTTCTTTTATTAACAATATGTTTTCATTTGCTCAAAAGCATTTAGTTTTTACCACTTGAAATAGCAAATTTTTATAGATATATTTTTTTTAATTTGTAAATATTATTTATTTTCTTTCTATATATGTATGTATATATACTAAGTTTCAATATTCTTTCTTCTGTAGTACCTACAAACCACAAAAACAAAAAAAAAAATTGTCAGTCCCCTTCATAACTTCAAAGCTACTTCACCGATCCTTTTGAAATTTTGGAAATTTTTCGAATGTCGTATTCAATACACCATTAGTTTTAGTAAAGAGCCTTTAACTGTGTGGTCACAAAAAATCACAGAAAGCATGCCCGCTTTTGCACGAATTAAGGGCGTATTCTAGTCTAGAGCCTAGAGTTTCAGGTAATTTTTGAAGTGTCGTAATAGAAGCAATTCATATTTTTACTCTCCATTTTTTTATTAGTTATTTATTAACATTACAGAATATAATAATAAGTTCAAGAAATAATAAATAAAGTTAATCATTTCAAAAATTAGCAACTGATGAAGTGGCGGTCTATAAAAATTGGCGCGTGACCATACCCACGATTTAAGCCCTACTAGCAAGCTGAAACCATAAAGGAAAACATTATAAATCTAGAATAATGCCGTAATGTCTGAAACTATGGAGAAGTTGGAAACCAAATTTTTTTCATGAAATGGTGACTGTCTGAAAAAAAATATTTTTGTTTGTGCCACTTTTTTTTTACTGTTTTGAATTTTTTAAAAATGGTAGAAATTGAAATTTGTGGATATTGACTATCCAGACAAGCAAGTATTTAAAGAAGACTAAAACTCTAAAAATTACAGGTAAATCGGTCCAGTTGAACCTGCGAAATGGTGGGTATAGTTTTGAAAAAGACAGTTTAAATGCCGTGTCAGCAAAATACCTATATCTCCGAAAATAATTTGAATTTTGAAAAATCTTCTTGTAGACATATTTTGAATAGTTAAACTTTGAAAAAGAAAAATCGATTTTTATTTCTAGACTAGAAATAACCCTCACCTTAAATCAACCTGACTATCTTCATTTCTAAACAGTATCAAAACTTGCGGTTTATTTTGTTTTCTCAAATCGAAACGTTAACTAATTGAGAGTCATATAATTCTGAACTTATGTTGGAAATTTCTCATTAACTTCTCAACAATTATTTTTTTCATTTGTCTTGACGCTTCGATATAACATAAGAGACGTTTTTGGGTTACTACTTTAATTACTACAACATGAGTATTATTTCAGATTCCTCAACTGAATCTCATCGAACAGTTTACCGTTTAAATCTCCGATTAACTGAATTTGACACTTCTGTTGCCTGCATTTAAATGCATTTTTTCGCATCCCACACACATTTCCTACGCACTTCTTTCGCCATTCGCAATTTAATAAGCACTTTAACCCCATTAATATATATCTGCTGCGTCCAACTTTGCACGCTTATCTGTGCCACATCGCAAAATTATTAATAGATCCGCCATATTAACCATTACTGTGACATTTACAAGCTCCACAAGTGCGTGGTGCAGTCTCATATATTCCACAGTTGACCAAAAAAAGCAACAACAATTTTATGTCTAGTTTTATTTTTCAATTTCAAATTCACGGTCATAAAAGTTGCAACGCATTAATATTTGCACGATGTCTGGTATAATTTGTTGGTTTACCGTGAAGAGCAGATCATCGTGCGATAAACACATTTGCCTTCCTTGCCTCTGCACCTACTGTGCGCCGACACACATGCCACACAAATTTCGATTAATCGCCACCGCTGCTGCTACTGCTGCCACCGGCGACATGTTGCACATTGCTGTGGCTGATGATTTTCGCCATCAAGTTGTTGGCAGCGGTGGGTACTTGAGAGTGCAACGCCGCCAACAACAGCAACAATAACGACTACTGACAGTGTTCTACGCATGGTGCATCATGAGAAATCTGATTTGCTCAAGTGTTGCACACATTCTTACACACGCTCAGACTCTTCATATAGACTCTGGGTGATGTGGTGATTGTTGCTATTGTTGTAGTTGTTGTAATTGTTGCTGCGGCATTTGCAGTTACTTGCCGCTGATTATTATTTTATTGCACTTGTGATTAAGTCAAGTGGCTGCAACATCATCAGACAACTGCAACAGCAGCAACAACAGCCAGCGAAGTGTCTAAATGTAGTCGATTTGTTAGCGTTGCAGCCGATACCCACACACACATACATATTTGCACTGACATTATAAGTATACCAAAGTACATGTGTAGCTCGCAGTGTGTACATATTTATCTGCCATCGTGCTGTCATGAAACAAGTGGCAGTTGCCGCGGGAAACTGGCGTGTGGAGAGTTTGGGCGTCTTTAGCGAAAAACGAGCGTTGTTGTGACTTCTACAAATTGGCAGCGCTAGAAGAAAATTGCACTTTTAGATATTTCATACATAGGAATATCAATCCTTGTTGTGTTAACACATACTATGTACTTACATATACTCTGTATGTATAATATATTTTCTCATTACTATTTAATCTGATAAATTCTTGAAATTTAATGTCAAATGCAATTACTAAGCTACCGACAAATCTTGCGACTGATAAACACGGTGCGGTGCACTTCGAACATCCTTCAGTATATGTATACTGCGTAGATGACCTAAATATAAGATTGACAGCATTTGATCTTGATCTTAAAGTGGCGTCCACTATTTTGAAAGAACAATAATACATTTTCATCGAACTTTTTTAATATCTGATGTAGGTCTTTAACCAGTTTTTCAATCAGTGAATCTGGTTCAAGCCTGTGGGTTATATCCACTTATGAATTTCAATATTTCTGTTTTTTTTTTTTTTATATATCGAATATAGGTACTATATATGTATATTTCAAAATATTTTCTGAAAATTTGAAGTAGTTTCGGCAAATAGTTTTGGAGATATAAGCATTTTTTTTTTAATTTTTAACT